TTCTAGAAAGGCAAAAAATAAATAAATAACAAAGCCTGGATCCTTTCATGGAGATATGGTCTTGCAGCCTACTGTGTAATTTATGTCCAACTACTTTCATGTACACGTCCTACACCTGACAGCCACCTCCTGCTTTTATGACTTTATGTTGCTTCCTGCTGTGCTGCGTGGCTTCTTCTTTTTTTTGCACCATTTCCTCAATCCATTTCAAATGATTGCGAACCTTCTGAAACCGGAAAGCGTGTTATCTTTAAAAAAAAACTGCCAAAATTACACCATTCATCAGAGCCACAAATTGTCAACATCAAAAGAATCGTCAGATCTTCGACTTTCTGACGGTTCTTGATCTGTGATGTGCCTTTCCCATGGAAAACGAAACCCAAAATAGAGCTTAAAACCGTGATATTTTATCAAAGCCTCGTTCTTCTAAAAGTCTCTTTTAAGAATTCTCTAAATATAAATTGTTTGCACCAATTCTGTAAAAAAAAGGAAAACGTTGCTGTTGTAGCTGTGAAGCCATTAGTGGCTCAACTGAAACCAAGAGACAAGTAAAATAATTGTAGAAAGTAGTAAAATATTTATAGTATGTAAAACCACCATTTTTTAATCTATTTTTTAACCACTACTGGTAAGACCTGTTGGCCCTTGGAAAATGTTGTTCATGCTGATTCCAGGTTTTTATCATCCATCCATCCATCCATCCATTATCTATACACCGCTTAATTAAAGGGTCGTGGGGGGCTGGAGGCTATCCCAGCTGACTTAGGGCGACACTTAAAGATAGACAACCCAGCACACTCACATTCACACCTACGGACAATTTAGAATCACCAATTAAGCTCAGCATGTTTTTGGACCTTGTTGGAGGAAGCTGGAGGACCTGGAGAGAACCCANTATGCCTACAAAATTGCGTAGCTCTAGGCCAAATGTGCTTTTGACAATTTAGAAGGTGGCGCTGTGGAGCAATTTTTCTATTGAGGTGTGTATTGTTCTTCAAAATTATAAAATTTTTCACCGGGTCTGATGTACATGGCAATTTTGGTGAGTTTTCGAGTATGTTTAGGGCCTCAAAAACGCGTGTCTTTGGCACGAATAATAATAATAATCCGAGCAGTTCCAATAGGGTCTTCGCACCCTTTTGGGTGCTCGGACCCTAATTAGGAGTGAATCCATCATGTGGGAGTCATAAATACTCAAATGTATAAATAAAAACGATAAAAATCCTCGCTCCAATAAAATAAATATGGTTTCATTTAAACTGATTATTGCCATGACAACAGGGCGTAACAATAATATACACCGAAGTGTCCACTTTAAACCACGTTTGTTTTAAGAAGTAAAACTAAAATGCATACGTTATAACGTGACATGTTATTTACAAAAGGCTGCACTTTTTGCAGCATAAAAATGTGTTCGCCTTAGCCTTGAGCCAGTCCTGCTGCTGTGTGTTTACAACAACTAGAATGACTCTGTGCTGTTAAATTACTGTTCTTTGCATAACAGGGAAGCGTTTTGCATCCTAAGAGGGGATTTTAAAAGATGGAGCTTGCACAGATGTACAATCCAATCTGCCTCTATTTAAACACAGGAGACAGCAGACCTATTTGCATCGAGATGTAATATTTCGCTGAATTTTAAATATGCCACAAAGTTTCACAGGTTGTTATCGGAGAGCCGTTTCAAAAACAACCGCGACGAATGGCCAGTTTTCATGGGAATACTCTGGGAACTTTTTTGGGATTCTCTGCATCAGAGCAGTAGGACCGGATTATTAAACCTGCAGCCGAATAGTACAAAAGGGATTTGAGGTGAAATTGTGATTTAATATACTGCTCGGTGCTAATCATTTCTGCTGTTTGTATCTAGTAAACATGAGCTGAGTCATTTTTGCTGTCTTGTATTGAACTCCGTGCAGACAATGCTGCATCTCTGCCTGTAATACACCACGATAAATATGCAGAAATATTCCTGTTTTTTTTTTCAGGCCTGACTCAGTGGACTGAAATCTAGATTATGGTCATAATTGTGTTTACTAATCTGTTTCCTCTGAATAAAGATGAGCCAGGCTCTCGTTTTAAATTACTGCCAGGTGGGTGCAGAACTATTTGAATATGCCAAAGGTTTAGGACTCACTTTGTTTCAGGTCAGTGGTGCCACAGCTTTCCGCTGTCCTGTGACCTGCTTTCATTATTTATGAAGGAATGCCAAGAGGTGATGGCGGTAATTGAACATCCCCTTTATAAATAGAGCCGGGAGGTAAATAATGGACAGCTACAGGTGGCTCCAGTGTTTATGAGAGGTTGACTATTATATGGGCTTCAAACTGCAACTGATTGGTTGTATTATTTCAGGTATGAGTGATTTATTTCTGGAGATTTCTGAGAGGCCGTCTTTTGTCCCAAGACTGTAAAAAAGGTCTGAAGTCCAGCAGTCAATTAGGAGGGCACAAGCACCAGTTAACCACATTGTGGACAACCTCTCCACTAATAGGCTGACCTACATTCCTGAAGCATCAAACCTTTAGTACTAAATCCTCCTGGCTTAGAACTGAGATGGACACAAAGAGACTATTAATAAAATTCTCATTTTTGAAAATCTATTCTAGTGTGAATCCAAGCACACTCACACAAAAAAATCATCAAACGCTGTTGTCAATAAGACGGGATGTTATTTGAATATTTATAGCAGTAGAACCCTTAACTCTCAGGGCAGAAGCTCACACAGAAGATGAGAGGCAGCGTTTCAAATGTGTCCAACATTTCAACACATTCTACACGAATACACTAATATAATAAGGAACACTGTCGCTCTCTGATCAGAATTTACATAATGTATCAGAAGTATTTTTAGGATCTAAACAGGTAACTAAGAAAAAATAAAGCACTGTGCTGTTTTT